TAAAGGACATTTCAAATCTACTTAAATGTAATTTTACTTAAATGTTTTAAAATAAATGACCTTGGTTAAATATAACGTTAAGAATAATAAAACAGATTAAAATGGACTCTTGTTGAATATCTCTCCCATTCCTAATCTTCTCTTATCCTTTTATAGTCATAAGGATCAAACAATTATGTTTATAGAAATTGTGGTTGGATTTTATCATATAAAGCTGGTTTCTTTCATTAGTATTAACAATAGATTTGTAATTTTGGTGATGACTCAGTTATTCCTGGAAACTGCATCTTAAACCCAGCATCAAAAAGATGATGAAATGACATGAAACTATGAAACAATGTCTTTGTGAATTTTTTAAAAATAATGAAACAAAGAAGGAAAGAGTCTACTGAAAAAAAAATGTTTATGGCTGTACTGTTTTCTCAGGAGTTCATATGAGCGGAATATAAAGTAGATTCTATTCATCAAAAGAGAAAATGAGCATTTTTGGGTCCTTAAACAAGCTTATCTATCACTGCAATAACAAACTGCCCCCAAATTGACAGCTTAAAACAACAATTTATTATCTTTCATAGTTTTGTGAGCTGACTGACCTGGAGTCTTTGGAGTCTTTCATGCTTTTTGCTCAGATGGTAGATGGGGCTGAAGTCATCTGAAGATAGGCATTGGACATCCAAGATGGCTTCTTCACTCACAGGATTCACATTTCAACTAGGTAGGCTGTTCGGGCATCTGTGTCTTCCCATGGCCTCTCCCTGAGACTAGGTTGGGTTTCCTCATAGCATGGTGGCCTAAGGTAAATTTCAAATGTTTACTTGTTTCCCCTAAAACAGGAGCTCCAAGAGACCAAGGCAGAAGATACAAGGCTTTTTGTGATCCATCATTAGAAGTTACAATCATCACCACTACTGCCCTCTATTTGTTATACAGCCCAGCCCAGATTCACTGTTGGGAGGACCCTGCAAGAGGGCATGAATACTGGAAAGTGTCATTCACTGGGAGATTATCTTTGGAGAGCAGCTACCACAAGTGCTTTCTACAACATTTTACATAGAGGCTGGTCAAGGTGCCCAAAAATAACATTGAAAGAATCTAATGGGTTTAAAAAGATGGGGAAAAAATCAGGAAAAATTCTTTAATCCTACACAGCCAAGTGTGAATTTTCCAGTTAATTTTTCAATCTTTAGGTAATTCCTATAGCTCATCCTTCTGACCATATTCCCTTCTACTATTTTGGGGAATTTTATTGTATATTCAGACTGATACCAGAGAATGAGAAAAGGGCAGAACAAGCACCTAGAAACATTCATGATACCATGAAATGTGCCCCTTGATAGGCACATTTCTTTATTAAGTGCTAGGTGTACATAACAACTTATCATAGTATAATAGTGGGTATACTGAAAATGTCATAGAATTTTAGACCTTGAAGGGAATTGAAAGTCAATCTCCATTTTAAAGACATTTTAAAGCCCAGAGTGGTTAAGCAACTTGCTAAAGGTTTATATGTCATTGAAGACATTCTAACTCCTAGTCCACAAGTTTGCATACAACATGTTGCCTTTTCATTTACCTAGTAGTATGTCAACTAAAACTTTAAATTACTACCAAAGCAACTGGACTTCAGTACGGTTGATTCTTATTAATTTTTTGGACTTAAACGTGATACTTATGAGGAAGTGGAAAGTATAAAGTGGAGTACAGAGAGAGAAAAAGCCCATTTATTCTAGACCAACGTTTGCCAAATTTGAGTAAAGTATGAACTCCTTTTAAAGAACAAAGAAGGGGGAAAAAACCCTCACTGTTGACTAAACGATATGGGCTTTTTCTGGAAGCTTTGACTTGGACTAATTTTTCAAGATTCATCTATGTTGTAGTCTGTATCAGTACTTCACTTATTTTTACAATAATATTTGAATAATATCCTATCATTTCATTTATACAATCATCAATTGATAAATATTTAGGTTACTTCCACTTTTGAGCTATTATAAATTATGCAGCAGTAAACATTTGAGGACAAGTTCTTCTGCAGATGTATGCTTTCAATTCTCTTGGGTAGATAACTAGGAATGGAAGTGTTAAACAGTATTCCAAAGTAGGTGCACCATTTTACATTCCCATCAGCAATGTATGAAGATTCTAATTTCTTCACTTTCTCATTAACTTTCAATATTATGATACTGACTTTTTGATTACAACCATCCAGGTGGGTGTGAAGTGTTATCTCCCATGAATTTGACTTGCATTTCTCTAAGAACTAATGATGTTGAGTATCTTTTCATATTTTTATTGATCACTTGCATTTCTTCTTTGGAGAAATATGTATTCAAATCATTTGCCCATTTTATAATTGGGTTATTTGTCTTTTTATGGTTCAGCTGTGAGTTTTCTCATCAAGTTTGACAGGGTGGTAATGCTAGGCACCAGTGCTATGATACACGCAAAAAACTTGGGTTCTGAAACTGCTTTCTTTTATTCAGTTATAAAATAGTCACCTATGACAGCCAGAATCAAATCTACTTTTAATGAAATTTTGATTATCATTTAAAAAATACACATTTAAAATGTCTAATAAAGTACCGGTATCAGAAATAACCCCTTCACTTAATATTGCAAAGAGCAAGTTGTTCAAGGAGGTTAAAGCAGTGTTAGTTATAATAGTAAGATAATCAGTTATAATAGTAAAGGAATTCTTAGAAATTCTAAGAAAATGATTCTATACCAATATTATGGACTATATAGCAATTAAGAATTATAATCATCTGGACTATGTTGATATATGGAAACTCATTCATGAAACAATGTTAACTACAAAATATCTGTCTTATACAGGTTACACTCATATACTTCAATAGATTTATAAGTGTTTCTTAGTCATTTGTCTTCAGACAAAAATCTATAGAAACATTTATTCTTATGACTCTACTAAAATTTATTAATGTATTTATAAACGTTTCTATGTAATTTTGTCTTCAAACAAAATCTATTTCATACAGATTATATATATACCTATAAATGTATTAAAATACATGAATGTGCATTAATAAATGTAAGGTAATATGAACAGAATTTAATGTTTATTGGATTCTTTGCTTTCAAAAAGCAGTGTTTCACAAAAAAATGGTTCTATTTTATTAATAGCATTGCTCACAAAGATTCAGTGCTCAAAAAATTGGGGAATTTGCTGCAAATAAGTTAAGTATATGTTTTTTTCAGTAGAAATTCTCAGAGCCTTTAATCCATTAACATGCACTGTGAATCTCTAAAAGAAAGTGGTTCTTTATATTATTTATCTCAAAGTCTGTTATTTTTATCATGATTTACAATTATTATACTTGTGTAAATCTCATTTGTGCTTGTTTTACTAATGTATCTCTCCCAACTAACAGGATAGTAAGTATATCTCCATTCCTTACCATTGTTCCTAGTGCCTCAGCCAGGGCATACAGCAGGAGCTCAATAAATACTTTTATAGTGAATGTATTACTTGGAGGAGTATCTTGAGGGACTAGTGCTTGAAGTTACACACTTTGGGAACTACCACTCTAAAGTTATTCAATTTTATAATAACTTCAAAGGAAAAATTGTGTTAACACCTCTAGGCCCCTAGAGATCCACTTAAATTATTGCTGTGCCTTGGCAGAATCCATTACTACTCCAGGGAACTGAGGAGATTTCTCAGAGAGCACGTCGTGACCTGGAAAAATCTTGTGAAATCATTTTTATACTCTGAAACTTCAACTAAAAACAGCAGTAAAAATGACCATAACCATGAAAAAAGTTGAAAGGAATCATGCTTTGCATCAACACCAAAAATTCAATTTGAGGGAACACATTTTGTTCACATGAGATTTTCCATCAAGGATGTTTGCTTATTTTAATAGATTGAGTTTGAAAAGCAGATATTCCTTCTGGAAATTGCAAATTATTGACTCACTGATTCTCTCTTAGGATAAGTGATTTCATGTATAACGATTTTTTTTTTTTGGATAGTCGGAGTCCATGTTAAACAGCTATTAAAATATTTTAAATATATGGTTTACCTACATTTTTATACAATAATTTATAGTTTTAGGATACTTTTCTAAACGCTTTATTTTTAAATAACCCTTTGTGAAAGTTATATAATGCTGTTGTCTTTTTTAATAACATGGGAAAGCTAAATACTTTTCATCAACTAAGATTTACGAATTTCCTCCTCTTGTTCCCCAAAAGTGCTAAAAATGCTAATTTCATTATTTCAGAGTAGTGTTGAAGTAAAATAATAAAAATTGATATAAAATTTAGTTATTTTTTCCAGTTATCAAAGTGGAAAGAATTTTACCAGCTGCCAATGCCTCCACATCATGACACATCATTAAAAGCTGTTTATGTCTAAACTGTAAACCTTAATACTTGGCGGCGTGGGGAGGGGGGAGGGCGGGGGGGGGCGGGACATGTCAAGTCAAACAAAGAATGTATTTCCAAAGCAGCATTTGCAAAGGTTAATCCGTGTATAGACTACAGAGGGGAAAGTGCAGCGACTGATGTCTGATGATCGATCCAAGACCCGCTTCTCGAGTTTTTTTTCCTGGTTAATAAACCACCAGGAGAGATCATTTTTAAACTTAAATTTGCTGAAATGCTCAAGTTCCCTAAACTTGAGAAGTTTCAGTAAATTAATTTTATATCTGAGAATAAAGATTTCCTGCTTCTGCTGACATCTTCTGCACAAAAGATAAAGGATACCCGACTATTTGGGAATCTGCAGGGAGAAAATTTACATAATCCCCAAACCGAAGGTGGTCTTACAGCTCAGAGATCCCCTGAACACCCAAGGCCTCTGAGGCCCGGTCAGTTAAGTGGCTTAACACAGGTCTCCCGACCGCCGGCCCAACCAACCCTCTTCTCCCTCAACACCAAAGCTCACGGCGCCACCAGCTAGAGTGAAGGTCAAAGCAACAAACTAATCCGCAGTCCGCCGGCTGTGAGGGTCTTCCTATCCAAGGGAGTTTTTTTTAATGCGGTTTATGGAAAGGGCATTTCTCAGCACTATTCTCCAAGGACACGGTCCAGCCAAGGATGGTTTGGGTGGGGAGAGGTGAGGGGGAAACACGTACAGGATAAAAGAGCTGTTTTCTGGAGACTTGTCAAGAACTGAGAGTGCGGAACAGGGAATGGGGAAGAGGCGTAATAAGACGCAAAGTCTAGGGTTGGAAAGGCGACCACACAGTACAAAAGAAAAGTGGGTTCGATTTTTCTAGAGCGGCTTCAAAAGGAATCTCGGGGGAGCCCTGCAGGGGGGCGCAGGCTAAGGGCAGATACTCAGCTGCTCCCAATAGGGGGCGGGGAGCGCCCAGCCCCAGTGGCGCAGCCGGGACTCCCCGCCGCACTGCTCGCCCCCCTTGGCGTTCCACGTCCTCCAGGGCTCTCCCCAAGCCCTCCCTTCCCCCTCTCCAAACAACCCGACTCCTCCCCGGCTCCTCGGCTCTCCCGCCTCGCCCGCCGGGCCCTCTAGTCGGCGTCCCCGGGCCCGCTCCTCGCTCTGCGCCCTGCTTGCGCGCAGCCTCTAGCGGCGCGTCATTGCGAGGCCGGCCTCGGCGCGCCTCCCTCCCTCCCTCCAACCCCCGGCCCCAGCCCTGCACGATCAGAAGCGCGAACGCCGCGGCAGCCACCCTCCAGCCGGCGGCCAGAGGCGCAGTCCCTAGGCCCTGGAGCACGGGCGGGCCCCTGGGGAGTCGGCGCCGCTCCAGCAGAGCCGCGAGGCCAGCCTCTGCCCGGCGCCGAGGGCGCGGAGGTGAGCGGGTCTGGGAAGAGCGCGAGACCGGGTGGCGGCGGTGGAGTTGAGGGTCAAGATGCGATCGGCACCACGCGCTGCATCCCTCCTTTCCTGGATTCCGCGCCCTCTGCGTCGTCCGCTCTGAGCTGCCGGGGTTCCTGATTTCCTGGCACCTTGAGGTCGGGAGTGGGAAGGGTGGCGAGGGTGTGTATTCCACAGATCTGCCCCCTACTCCTGGTTTTCCCCGAGCTCCCAGAAAGTCCTAAGGTTGGTTGGGCCCAGGAGAAACAATGTCCCAGGTAGGATGTGCCGCAAAGGGAAAGGACAGGCAGGTTACCTGCGCCTACCTGGTAGTCTCTACCACTTTCAGTTCATGCTACTCATTTCATTGAAGATCATGTAGCGCTGCTCTGCGAACGGGTATTTCTAGTAGTCATTTTGTTTATTACCCAATGATGTGACCCATGGTGTGTTTAGGCCATTGTGTATTAGAAAGTAATTGGACTCTTCTTTGAGTGTCCTAAATTATCTGAGCCCTGTATTCAGCCTCAGCCAAAACTTGCTGAAAATTATGCCCTAAAAATCTTGCTCCTAAAATAGAGCAGAAAGATAAAGAGAAATTTTGTCGAGAGATTTCCATTCATTATCTTCGCCACCCCTTGGAGAAGGATTGGTGTCAGTTTTTACTCCTCAGGCAGTACATTTTTTTAGCTGGAAATACATATTCCAGGCCATGGTTAATTATCATTCATCACCACGGATGAAAGTGGGAGAAGTAGAATTCGAACTCCTGTCCCACCCTCACCCTCTTGACTTTGATTAGATCCTAGTCCTGTTAACAGCCCCGCTGCTGGGAACCTTTTTGGTCTCTCCAAACCAAATCCTCCATCACACACCACACACTTTTTTCACTTTTATTATAATTTCTTCGTGTGTTGATCGCCATTTTTTTTCTCTCAGGCCAAATATTATTAATCTGCAGCTCTCCCTCTGTTGTTTCAAAGCTTGAAAGCTATCTACAGATGAAAAATATGTATCCTAGATATTTTGCAGGATATTTGGAAACATAATTGGAACGGCTGCAGTTTCCTCCTCATAGCCAGTTACTCTTTTGAGCGGTGAGGGAATGAGACAATATCAGTAATGATGAATTGAGCTAATTGTGCAGAAAGAAAATGAAAAGCTGTATCCAAGTCACTTTATATTGCACTTGTGTCATGGAAGATAGACTTGTAGTGAATGAGCATAATTATATTGTAATACTGAAAAGGTAGCACAGATGAAGGCAAACAAATTTTTTAAGACAGGATCATAAATGAGTTAGAAAGATGAGAAAGAGGGTACACCAAATGTTTGAAAGACTAGGGCTGCAGTTTCAAAAATAGACACAATCAGGGCATCAGGAGATGCATTTATTCTGTGCTCAGACACAACTGTGACACTGACATGTCACTTACCCTCTTTGGTTCACATGCCTTCATCAAAATGAGGGATTTATCTGGAGACATATTAGATTTCTTTGGGTTCTGACATTTTTGGATGCATTTTGACCACAAAGAACATTCATTGTATTTTTCTTTACTATGTGCCAGGCATTGTGGAGGCAGTGATGGACAAGACAAATATGGTTCCACCCTCAGGGAGCTTATTAGCTGGCGTGGGAAACAGTAATGAGTAAAGAAACAACTACATAAGAAAGGGAATCTAACAAGGGCTCAAAACAAAACAAAACGAAACGGGAGTGAATTACTCTACTGAAGAGACATAATAGCATATGCAACATTCACAGGATGGAAAAGCGAGTGGTCTTTTCTACTTCAAGAAAAGGATGCTGTGGCTGGACCATAAGTAACAGTCATAGGGGATGACATTGGAGAAGTGTGCTGGGACCAGCCGGTTCATTCAGAGCCTTTTCAGTCATGGTCAGGAAGGGACTGTAGTTCTAAATGCAACAGGAAGCCACTGATTTTTAAGGAGGTGAAAGGCATCTGATTTACATTTTAAGATGATCTCAGCTGTTATGTGAAGAAAGGTTTGGAAAAAGGCCAAGGACTAAGTAGAGAGGCCCATTCAGAAATGTTTACAGAGTTCAGGTGAGAGATGATAGAGACCTGGACTAAGCTGGTGTCAGTGGTGAGGGATTTAAGAAATATTCTGGAGTATAGATGCCGGTGTTGGATTTTATGTCAAGGCTCAGGGAAAGCAAGGACTTGAGGATCACTCCCAGATTTCTGGCTTGAGCAACTGATGGGTAATGATATCATTTACTGAGAGGAGGAAGTTTGGATGAATGTGAACAGGTCAAAAAAGGTAGAAAAAGACTTTAGTTTTGAACCTGTTAAGTTTGCAATGTCTCTGAGGAGCTGCTTGAGAGGAGAAAAGTCATGGTCACTAGGACAGAAATGGACAGACTGTCCTTTGATAGGTGAGATTGGTGATAATGAATGTAAGGTAAGCTCAGTGTCTGATTTTTCTTTAGCAACCTTCACCAACTTGGATACAGATATAGTGAAAATGGATAACTGGGTTCTTCCAGGGCTAGAGTTTTGCCAAGTGGATGTGATGGAGAGCAGGAGAACTGTCCTAGTTTGTTCAGGCTGCTATAACAAAATACTGTAGACTGGGTGGCTTAAACCACAAACATTTCTTCTCACAGTTCTGGAGGCTGGGAAGTCCAAGATCAAGGCACGAGCAGATTCATGCTGGTGGGACCTACTTCCTGATTCATAGATACTGTCTTCTCACTGTGTACTCATGTGCCAGAAGGGGAGAGAGAGCTCTCTGGACTCTATCCCATTGATGAGGGTTCCACCTTATCACGACCTAATCCTCTCCCAAAGGTTGCACCTCCAAATACCATCACATTCGGAGTGAAGATTTCAACATATGAATCAGTTGGAGGAGGGTGATGTAAACATTTAGTCCGTAACAAGAGTCAATCATTTTAAGTGAGTAATAATAACTATACACTATGGAATCTAGTATGGGTAAAGAGAAACCAAGAAAGTGAGAAAACAGCCAGTAGATCAGATTTCTTCTGCTGTCTGGAATTATCAATGTGAATATTTGACTATGATTATTGGAAGGCTAAGAGATAAGAGCCTGGAGATAGTGAGGTTGGGTGAAGACAAAGATTCACTACCTTTGATGAATAAGTGAAGGAAATGAGCCCATGAGTTGAATGGTTCATTCATTTGAATGATGAAGTAGTGGACAAGGATGACCACTGCTGGGGTAGAGAGGAAGACTGTGTATATCCAAAGTCACTAGTGATAAAGAATAAGCTAGAAGTCAGCAGATGACAGCAGTGGGTATAGAGAGAGGGTATTACAGGTCACCATGAACTTCAAAGGAGCACTGTGTTTGCAGGAGGAGAAGAAGAAAGGTTCAAATATGGCTTGCAAAGTTAAAAATACACCAACTCTAGCTCATGGCACGGCCCTGGAGGATTACATTTTCTTGATAACATAACCAAATCAGCAGGTTGTGAATGTCATCAAGATCTCTTGAGGACAGCCCTTTCAGAGTTGCTTTCATCCAACAATTAATGCTCTAGATCTTTATATGTGAAACATTCAGTTCTGTTTAGTAAAATTTGTATAGCCCAAGAGCTGCCCTTCAGCCAGAGGAAATGTCCAGGAAACTCCTCTGAATTGAAAATCTTAGGAGGCTATGTATCTGAGTGTAATCGAATTCTCTTATTTTGATAATTTCCTTCAAGTATTAAATGCATACATCAAGTCAAATGTCCACTCAAGAAAACTGTGACCTTGAAATTTCAAGGAACCCATGTGCTATTTAAATCACACTGTTACAGTTAGATGGAGCTCATACAGTCGCAGTGTCACACTGTCAAACATAAGCTAGTGATTACCATTATTATACAGCTATAAGTCTTGGAAACAAAAGAATTTTAGTGTTGGAAAGGACTGCAGAGTCAAGGACAACTTTTTTGTTTTCCATTTAACCAAGGAAATTAAGAGTCACAAAACTAGGTGATTTCAGAAGCCTAGGCCTATTCTTTGTCCTTGACACCACATAAATACAACTTTCTCTAAATGTCATAGTCTTCTCAATTATCTAGTCTGTATTACCTGTGAATAACATCAGAAGAAAAGGTAAAGAAACTCTAGGACCTTGCAAGTCACAGTGTGGCCTGTGAACTGGGACCATGGGTATCACCTGGGAGCTTGGGAGAAATGCACACTCTCAAACCTCACTCCAGACCTACAGAATTAGAATGTACCTTGGAACGAGATCTCCCGCTGATCATATCTGCATTAAAGTTTGATAGTTGGTCCACTTGGAAACTCTACGCAGGTCAGCAAAGCCTGTGATGCCTGGAGAACTAAGGAGAGGAGCCCCTTGTTAGACAGAAAGAAGAGACACCATTACTGGAACATTCTGAATTTTGAGTGTTATGAAATAACAGGAGCAAAGTGTGCTGTGTGGTGGGATGCCACATTTTAAGGAGTGGCACTGCCCTTTCCAAAAAGTGAAGAGAGGAAATAGTGAGTGGACCTTCTGATACGGCTCCTGCCTGTGTGGGAAAGGGGAAAGGGCTGAATGCATATGCTCCAGCTTCTGACGTTCAAGGGCAGCTGTAACTCTATGGCTAGAGTTATTTTTCATTATTACAAACAACAGTGTGAAAAGGAGTGTAATCGAGGATGAAAAAGCCACATCTGAGGAGGGGCAGGGGAGTGTAGCTCCGTGGTAGAGTGCATGCTTAGGATGCACGAGGTCCTGGGTTCCATCTCCTGTACTTTCACTAAAAATAACTAAGTAAACCCAATTACCTACCCTCCAAAAATTTAAAAAAAAAGCCACATCGGTTATCTCCAAATACTAAAATAAGTATTAAGTTGAATTTTGACTCTCTACAATGAGTAGTTTTCAACCTTGACTGCATATGAAAACAGCTGAGGATCTCTTAAAAGAAAAGTCCTGATGTCCAGGCTGAACCCCAGACCAATTAAATAAAAATCTGGGTGGAAGGGTGGAGGGGGCCAGGTATA